AAAGCACAAAACAATTTACCTAAAACAATGAGGTCAATTGGGCTAACTCTGCACCGCCACTCTGGCAAATAGAGCTGTGCTTTTGCTGTGCGACGTGGTGCCGTATGTTTAGCTGAGGCAGTCATAGTGGAAGACGTTGACTTACTTAAACCCCCAAACAACACTGATACCAAAATAATTAAATGATCAATACCTTTTCATGAAAATATACAACACTTCCTTTTTTATCTATACATTTAATTTGATAGCTGGGAAAAACATTGTGATATATAGTGATATCACAGTATTGTAATTATAAAAACAACACCCATGCCAATACTCACCCCTAATAAGCACTAAAGTTAAACAATTGTTTGATATTTAATTGTTTTTTCCAATAGTTGCTTCATAACTCTAGATTTATTTCATAACAATCCCTAAGAAATGTTATTTTCTTTTATTATAATAATAAACTGGTAAATCTCAGGTATCTAAAGCACAAACACAAAAATTTTCAGAAAAAGTTGGATTAAAGTTTATCAACTGTGCCACAGAAGATAATTTGTTTTGATCTGCTTACAGCTAAACATTTTTTGTTTATTTAAGGTTTAATACACGCAAATTTGCTCTGTTTTTCTATTGTTTCTGTTTATTTTATTGGTATACTGTTAGAAAAATAGATCAACTTTAAACTTAAAGTTTTGTCAAAGATTTGAATCAAATATTTAGAAATAACAGCAAATCTGAAAGATCAAAACTTTAATGATATTAAATATAAAAATCTATCAATATTAGCCATGCAGGTTGTGTTTTTACTCATAAAAAGTATCACACACCTTTAGGTAAGACAGCCTTCATAGGTGTTGGATGGATGAAAAGTATTTTTTTTTTCCTGTACATTTTTAGGAAAAAAAAAAAGTTTAATGAACATGAAATAAAATAAACATAAAACACCGGAACACGAGTCCATTTCATAAGTATGAGTCACTTTTCACAGTTAATTTATGTCAATAAATCAATTTAATATAGCAGAACTTGTCTGTTATTTGGATTCATTAGAAACCCAGTCAAGTGGAGGATGAGGGAGCCAACAAAGCAGACAAGCTGAAGGGCATCATTAAGCATCCTGGGTTCCTGCCACACCTCAGCACCACCGCAGGCTGATGAGGCAGTTCTGCTTAGGTGTTGTCATGGTGATTTGAAGGGTCAGTTTCATCCCACCTCATCCTGAACGCCTAATTTAGGCAATGGATCTATGGAATGCATTAGTGATACTTTGAATTAATGAAAAACAAGGAAAGTTTAGTTCCAGTATTTCAGGTTGCCTGTTAAAGACTCCATCAAATG